AAAAAAAAAAAAAAAAAAATAAAAATATCTTTTTTATGTATATTATTATATTAAAATATAAAGTATTTGTTAAGCATGCATGTTATTTAATTTTATATATAAAAAAACCAAGAAATAATGTTTCTTAGTATAATTTTATTATTTATTAATTATTTATTAATTTTAAGATATTCAGCATATTATGATTTTTCTATTTTTTATTATATGTCTTGTACAAGTATTATCTTAATATTAAAGAATATTAAAGAAAAACATTCTTGTAATTCATAAAATTTCTGTCAAAATAAAAATTGTTCATATTTAATAAGTCATTTAGTTTTATTCAGTTTTCAAGTATTATGCTTGATAGTAATACTTGATAGTATTAAATAAATTATGTTTTCTTATCATGAAATAGGATATTTTTATAGATTCTATTCCCATATTGATTAAAATTTATTGAAATAAAAAAGAAAAAAATAGACATAAGTATAGTGTAAAAATATATATCTTATCATTTTTTACTTCATTTGCGAAGTAAAAGTAATACGAATATGAATATTAAGATATATTAAATTTCAATTATGTTAACTTAGGGAATAGAAATTGGAAATATTACAATGTAATTGAATCAAATCTTAAATTACGATTAACATTATGACTTTACAGGTTGTCTATTTAATTGATTTTCAACTAACTCGAGTTGGTTCACTTGCCCTTGATCTTGCGAATTTGTTGTACTGTTGTGCAAGTGGAGAAATTAGACGAGCGCACATGACACAACTTCTTCAACATTATCATTTCCATCTAATGTCTTCATTACATACACTTAATCCAAAACAGCCACCAAAAGATCCATCTGTGATGTGGGAACTGTAAGTAATATTGCAATATGTTCGTAGAAAGAAGAAAAAAAATGTAATTGAAAAATTTGTTAAACGAATATTTTTAAAGCACTTTTAATCTTATTATTCATGGTATAGATTAAATGAAGAAATGCGACGATGTGGCCGATTTGGCGTAGGTCTCGCATTGGATATTTTACCAATTAGTACATGCGAAAGTGAAGAAGCTCCAGATTTGTATGAAAAATCAAAAACCAATAAAGGAAAAGAAAATACACGAGCACCACCACGAGAAGGAGCTGAATGTGCTCGACTTATGACTGATTTAGTTTTGGAGCTTGTGCATAATCATGCTTTATAAATTGAATTATAAAAAATCTTTATAAATATTATTTTAGAAAATACCTTTGTTATGTTATTATAAAATTATAAAAATTAATTTTAATGTAATGTACTGTTTAATATAATGATATTAATTAATATAATAATATTTACGCGTATTAAAAATTATATAAATTTCGATAAAAATTTGGCATTTTATATAATGCAAAATTTCGTCCAAAATATCTAATTATATTAAATGAAAATAAATAAAACAAACATTATTCAATATTGTAAAAATACTTAGTATTACAAATTTTACTCATATTTTTTTCTATGTATATTTTCATATCATATGCTTTATCAATATCTACATTTCGTTATTATTATCTTAATTAATAACTATAATTTATGAATATAATATAACTCACAATTTATGCTTGTTGTGGAGGTGTATGTGATGGTGGTTGTTGGGCTGATGCTTGAGGACTCGGTGGTTGTTGTTGTTGTTGTTGTTGTTGTTGTTGTTGCGCAGTAGGTTGCCATGCAGGATGTTGATTTTGTTGTTGTTGTTGTTGTTCTTGAGCTAAACGCTGATGTGCTTGTTGTCTAGCTCTAAATTCGGCTGCTTTTAATTGTTCCAAATGAAATTGTTGTCTTTCAGTAATAAGTTGTTGTCGTTGATATTCAAGGCCTTCACGTTCTCGTTCCATCGTCGTTTCCAATTCTTCAAAATGACGTAATTTAATTTCTAATTTCTTCATTTGTGTTTCAACAAGCAGCGCCACCAAAGCTTTAATTTTACGTTCTTCTACAGCTGCTAAATGTTTTGCTTTAACGGCAGCTGCTGCTAATGCTGCTGCAGCTGCAGATTGAAGCTGAGCATCTCGCACCACCTATATGATAATGAAAAAAAAAAAATATAAATAAATAAAAATATATTTTATATTATAGAAATATTTAACAAATATGAAAATATAAAATAATTATTCACCTTATCTCTCTTTTCTTTTGCTTCCATAGTTTCAGCATCCATAGTTGATTTTGCATCTTCTTCGGTTTCTTTCAATTCGTCTTCCTTTTTTGTTATGTCCAATTGACTTTGATCTATTTCAGATTCTTTAGGCTTTTCTTGTTCTTCCTTTTTCATTTCCATAGAAGCTGTTGTTGCCGAATGTGGAGATGTAACTGTAGCGCCTGTAGTTGAAGGTGGTGTTGTATCATCAGGAGGTTCGGGTGGTCCAGTCCCAGCTATACCTGATTGTGCTAATCCTGCAGCTGGATCAAACTTACCTAAATAATTCGAAAATAATTAATATAATTAATATAACAAAACTTCATTTTATTTCAATTATTAATAGAAAATTATAAGAAATTTATAAGAAAATTACGAAAAAGATTAATTACCATCAGAATTAGCACTAGCTTGAACATTTCTTAAATGTTGATCTAATAAAGCAGCTGGTACTTGATCTTTAATAGCTGCAAATTCTTCCATAGCAGCTTTGGCTGCACTTGCAGCAACTCTAGGATCAACAACTGAAGCCAAAAATGCCACAGTACTCATAACTGGATTGCCAGCTTTAGAAAATGGTACTGGTTGATAAGCTAATGGACCCAAACCCTCTGGTCCACTTTCTTCTAAATAAGGATCTTCTATAGGAAGTCGTAGAAAATGCAAAATACATTCATCCTGTGTTCTCGAACCAACATGTTCACAGACTTTATTCCAATCATCTTTGTGTAATTCTAATCCTTCTAATAGCAAAAGTGTTTCTTGTTCTGTCCAATCACGAGTAGCACCGGCAGCTTGTTTGTTCTTCAAAACTGCCGGTTTTCTCGAATACTGATCAATTTTTAGCCCAAAATTTGCCATCACTCCAGCTGAAGTTTTCTCTTCTGTTCCCAAACCGGATGATTTCTTTTCTAAATCAAGTAATGTTTTTGCGGCTGAAGGTTGTGGTGTTTTCGGAGGATTCGGATTAACTGGAGCTAAACCTGATGGAGTATCTGATAATACATGGAAATGTGATGTTGGAGGTGGACCCATGGGTGTTGGTCTTGATTCTGCATCCACTTGGTAATTAATAAGTCCCCACTGTTCCAAAAATGCATGTACACGCATGATTGCGCATACATCTCCTGCTAAATTACGCCTACAAGCAGTCGATGTAATATATTCTGTAGGATTTAATCTATAGGTATCGATCATAAAATTTCTGTATGCAAGATAAATTTCTGGCGTTTTAGATTTATTTTTACCATTAAAAAATTCAGATAAAGCTCTTTTTTCAATAGTATGAATCGAATTATAATCAAACCAAGCAGAATAACTAGGAACAACAATATGATGTGTTTGTTCAGTGACATTATCTTCTGGTTCATCTCCTTTATTCCCTTCTCCTCTTTCTTTACTTGCATCTCGTTCTTCTCTATCTTGAGTACTTTGCGAACTTCCTTTATCTCCTTCCATAGGTTCATCCAAATCCGCCATATTACCAGATTTAAGTGGTTGAAGTTCATTATCTTGTTTCTTACTACCTGTTGTCGTTAAAGTATTGCCACTTGTTGGAATATTACCTTGCCCAGTCACCGGCGGATTTGTAGGAGTAGCAACTACTTCTACAATTCGAGGTTCTGCTGGTGGATCTTCCATTCCTTGAGTGAGATCGTCTTCTTCTTCTCCACCACCGCGAGATTTCTTCGGAGTCGCAAGTGATGATGAAGATGAAGTTTGAACACCTGATGGTGCTCTTGCGCTTTTACGTTTTCCTGGTTTCGGCGATGGACTAGGAGATCGTTTTCTTTTTGGTTTTTTCGCTGAAGGGGGAGGATGAGACGGTTGAGCCATTAAATCTTCTACCGAAAGTCGGTATTTATGTATTTTCTTTTGACCATTTTCATCTATTTCATAGTCTTCTTCGTTCATCCATTCGTTATATTGATCTAAATCTAATGCCCATGTTGCGGCTACTTTGTATACTGATTTCATGTTTGTATTTGTAAGTGTACCTTCTGGAAAGTCCCAAGGAAGATCTAATGTAGTCCAAGAATCGTAACTATCGGGAAAATAGTACCAATGAAGAAGAACAGATCTTTCTCGTCTCATACAAGGTCGTGCATATTCTTCTTCCATAGGATCAACTGGAGGATAAATTATGTGTGTAGCATCTGTCTCATTTTCAGAAATACTACCTTGATGTCGACGAACTGCTTCTTTCACTTTTGCAGCTGTTGATTTATCTACATCAGGTCTCACATATACACTTGGTATAATCATACATCGATTCTGTACCAAAGCTCTTTCAGCAGCCATTAACATTTCTACTGTTCTATCCATACGAGATCCTGACTAAAAAAAATATTTTTGTGTATTATTGTTAAATTATATTTATAATATCATACTTACTTTTCCAACAGGGAAATCAAATCGACGCCATCCTTGTTCTTGTTTAAAACGATATGCAGTAGCAAGAATATGACATAAACCACCACCTGGTTTAAAATCTAAGAAACATTTCATCTAGAAAGTTTATAAATAATTTAATTATTTTTTAAAATAATATTTAATTGCATAAATCAATAAATACATACAGGAAGTCTGGTCATTGGTGGTTTTGAAACATTTTTTCCTAAATTATCTTCTTGAAATTGCAATAATTGCACGATTAATGTAGCTAAACTTTTATTAGTTGGAGGATCCGTTTGGACATACTAAATATTATAAAAAATAAAAAATATTATATGAAGAAAATATTTTAAATTATTAAAATATAACATATTATACATTTTTTATACATACATTATATTGAATAAAATTGAATTAATTATATGAGTATCATATAAGAGTATATATATTATTTATGTAGTTTTATATATATAAAAAAAAAGATAAAATAAATTATTCTTTGCAGTAACTTAAAAATAAATGAAATTATAAAATTTTTTAAGAAATAGATAAAAACTAATTCATATTAAGAAATGCTAACATATTATACAAACTAATAAATTGATTGTATTATTGGACGCCGGGCATTTAGATATACCTTTTTGCAGTTTTTCAAAAGCCACTGTTTAACTGCATCAAGTTGTGTAAGAATTTCCTGGGACTCAAAAAATTTTGTATTGGGTCCACCGTCCTTTTTAGGTCCTAACGCGAGCATCCTTTACAAAATTAGCTTTAAAAATTATTGGATATGATACAAGAAAGAACACCGCGTTTCTTGCAAACATGACACACCTCTGAAGTTGCTTCGAGCCATATTATTCTAATATAAAAATATTTTGATTTAATCGTAAATTTTTTTCTTCTAAAGAATTTAAAAATCTTTTATAATTTATAAATAAGTATTTTCTAATAAAAAAACAAAAACATATTTTTATTTTTCATATATAACCTTAACTGATAATATTTACTGCTAACCACGAATGAAGCAGATAGTGGTTTCTCAATTGGCAAACATGATTTTAAATACGATGACTCGAAATTATTTGGTAATCTAACTTCCTTACTATTTCTTTCTACAGTACTAATTATATTATAGGTTATAAATCGAATAAGATTGTTATATTGAATAATTATGTCTGATAAAGAAGATATTGATATTAATAAAAAGTTCGAAGATTTATTATTTGCCGAAGAAAATGCCCAATACATAGGTTACAAAGAAGGTTTTGAGGTTGGCAAAAAGCAGTTGGTAAATGGATTTCATTTTGGATATCACAAAGCTAGTTTGTTGGGTGCACAATTAGGATATTATAGCGGTATTTTGGAACAATATTTAAGTGCAAATAAATGTAATTTAGAGAAAGGTGTTTGGATTGCAAAAGAACTTTTACAAGATATTTATAATTTTCCTAAATACAATGATGAGACAATAGATATATCAAAAACTATAGATAATATTAAATTTAAATATGCCAAGTTTTGTGCATTAACAAAAATATATGCGCCATATCCAGAAACAGATAAACTTGATTTTTAATTATGCAGAATTATGATTGAATAAATATAAAATCAAATAATATTCTTTAATATTTTGATTTTTTATTATTTTTATAAATAATAAAATAAAACATATTTCTAAGAAAATTTATACAATATTGCATTAAATTAAATGTAATATTACATGTATACATGTATACATATAGTTATGTATGATAAACATTTTGATAAAATTTTATATTTTATTAATACTTATCAAAAATTAATAAATTGTCATATAGTTGATTTTATTACTGAAAATTTATGGATGACATGTTTACCAGAAACATTAAGATTAGAATTAGAAAAGAGTGAATTGAATTGGATTACTTGGGCAGAAAATGACAATTTTCCTATGCTAAATAATTTTATAAAGTTAGCAAAATCTTTATCTTTGCAGTCATGTTCTATAGAAATAAATTCAGAAGATTTTGCAAACACTTTACCTTATATTAATAATTCAAATAAATGTATATATAAAAATATTAAGATAGAATTTATAAATGCAAAGAAATTACATGAAGTTGTATCCCTTGGAAACATTATTGGGGAAATTGCAGCAAAAACAAATAATTTAGTAATAGATGCTGGTGCTGGCAAAGCATATTTATCAACATTTTTAGCAGAAAATCATAAAGTACCTGTACTTGCAATAGATTCTTCACAATTATGTAGCAATGGAGCAATCTGTAGGCAAAAAAAATTACAAAAGAAGTTGATGCTTTCTCCAATGCTGGTATTAATAATATTTAAATATATATTCAATTTTCGTGAAAAAGCAATATTTAAATACATACAAATTATAGATAAATTATATTTATATTGTGTTATTTGTTATATTATGTTATATTATGTTATGTTGATAATTTATATTTTGTTTTAGATACGTTATGTAGTTGAAGAAATAAATGATAATACTGATTATATAAAAATGATAAAACAAAATTTTTGTGATTGGAATATAAATAAAAATCTTATATTAACTGGTTTACATACTTGTGGTTCTCTTACTGATTCAATTATTAGAACATTTTTAAATACAAAAGATATTAATATTTTGTGTATAGTGCCTTGTTGTTATCATTTGACAAATGAAACATTTAATAAAAAGATTAGTTTTTCTAAAAATGCTAGGATGTTAGCTCAACAATCTGTTGAAAGAACTATAAAGAATGAATTTGTATCTTCATCATTATTCTACAGAGCAATTTTACAAGTGATTTTTCATTCCTTAGGTATATTTATTTTTATATTAATTTAATATATTATTACATTATTATTCTTTTTTTATATAGTACACTTCACTTTTCTTTTTTTAATAGGTATTTATAATGCTAAAGTAGGCCGTGGAGGACCTTTACATGATTTTCCAACTTATGCTTTGTGGGCATTCTCAAAAATTGAAATAGATTTAGAAAAGGTAATAAAATTTTTATATAGTGGATGAATATTTTTTTTAAATAGAATTCTTATATCTTTAGATACCATCACGAGAAAAATTAACGGATATATTTCAACTTTATGCACATTTAATGAAAAAGTTTAACATATTCCAAATGTTGAGAATACACATTGGTCTTGTATTAGAGGCAGCTATCATGTTGGATAGAATGATATTTTTACAAAAGAGCAATCAATGTTCTAAATTTGCGATATTACGTTTATTTGATCCTATGTTATCTCCAAGACGTTATGGTATCATTGCAGTAAAATAATAATGAAAAAGAAGATTTAAGAATGAAGGAACAAACAATGTCAATATAGGAAGAATAATTTTAATATACTTATAAAAAATTTTCATATACAATATGAGTAATTTAAATGTTATATATTTCCTAATAAAAAATATTTATTAGGAGTGAATTTTATTATCTTCTAGATGTAAATTTCTTAGTAATGAAGTTAAGTGTCATTGATTTCAGCAGATTGAAGATAATCCATAACAGACGAATATCCTTCTTCTTGTGCCAGAGGAGCTAAAATTCCAGTAGGAGGTAAACCATTTCTTGTTCTACATATACTGCAATTACATAAACCGCGACAAGGTGGACAAGCCCAATTCTGTAAATTTTTTGCAATAAAATAATTATTGAAAAGTAATAATTATAGAAATATATATATGCATATAAAAATATAAAACATACAGGATCCTTCAATGCGTCAATGGCATTTTCACCATATCGTCCTTTTAAACAAGGTCCGCAAAATTGACCTCTTAGTCCAACACATTCTCCTGAACGACATACTGTTTTTGTATCCAATGTTTTCTGTCTACACTGATGACAACAAGTTCCATTTATTTTACAATATTGTTTTGAAGAACTTTTTTCTGCAATATTATTTAACATTTCATCCGTAATTTCATCAACGGATGGTATGTTATCAGGATCGTATGGACTTTTATTTACATTATAAACTCGTTTTTTAGTTATATCATACGAATCATCACTATTATACTGTTCTTCCTCTTCATCTACATCACAAACTCCTATCTTCATTAAATCAATTGATCGTTGAAAAGGTTTTGCCCATGGAAATAAAACTTGCAATTTAGGTTTATTGTTTCTGGATTTAATTAAATCTTCCTCATATTCTGAAATATTGTGTTTAATTTGATTCCTTGTTCTACTTCTAGTGTTATATCTCTTACGAAATTCAAGTTTTACATTCTTAATTCTAACAGTATTATCAATAGAATTAGAAATAGTTTTACGTCTTTTTTTAGGTGGTTCATTCTCTGAATTTTCTACATCTTTATATTTTTTATCCAATTCTTTTACTTCGTCTTTTTGTTTTTTAAGATCTTTAAAGAACTCTGCAAACTATTTTGTTAAATATTAGCATGATTAGTTATATATAAGTAATTTATTAGTAAACATGATTAGTAGAAACTATAATATAGTTGATTAGTTATAGGTTAGAAATTTAAATTATATGCAAAAGTACTTACGACGGCATTTCTTTCGGCTATATTTCTTTTGCGTAATTCATCATAATCATTTTCACTCATGTTAAAAATTTAATTGATAAATCAATTTTTCACACGAAGTAAATATATACATTTAAAATATTAGAAAGAATAAAATTTGTTTGAATCGTATCACCAATGCTACGGACTTTTATGGCGTGTTGACAAATTTGGCGGGAAAAATTAGTTGGTAATTTATATAAATTATTATAATATAAATATAATTTTGAGAAAAATCATAAATACATATATTTTCAATTATTTATTAGTTTATATTTATTAGAGAATCACTGAATTGTTTTAAGACGAAAATTATAAATTTATAAATATTTTATAAATTTTAAGATAATTTTTTTTATATAAAGAGATTAGAGATTGTAATAATTAAAATATAATATTTTTATATTTTTTATATTTTTATATTTTTATATTTAATATTAAATTATAAAATTTATATATAAACGTGTTTTTTATTTATTATTATGTAATTGAAACTGAAATATAAGAAAGAACATAAATATGTTCAGTATATACGATTTATTATGATTCATTCAATATTTCGACAAATCTAAATGATACAATAATTAATTAATAATTAAAAAATGTTTCAAAAAATTGTTTGATATATTATTATATAACATTAATAATATTTCTATGAATATATAGAAATTATATGAAAGTCAATTTTAATATTTTAAATAGAATTATATAATTTTTATTGTACTTATCAATATAGTTCATATTTTAAAAAAGTACTATTTATTTATATTGAAAAATTTTTAATTTGAAAAATATTGAAGTTAAGTAAAATTTACCATATGAAAACCAAGAAACATGCGAAACCATATTATTTATGCTTTTCTTTCATATAGGAAATTTTTTCATATGAAATTCAAGTTATAATATCTTGTTAATTTTTAATATCTTATCAATATATATATTACTTTGTGTTTATTATACAGAATGTGAATATTTATCGTTTTGAAATATATAAGAGAAGAATAATCATAGATAGAAATTATATTCACATCGTAAAATCTATTATGATTTATAATATATTTGATATAAATAATTATTAGCAATGAATTTTTTTTTAATATTTTATAATATATTATAGTATAATTAAAAAATTTTAAAACTGTTTTGTATTGAAATAAATCGAGATTACTCGATGTACTTGATATAGAACATCTATCTACTTATCATATTTATTTTCAAATACAAATAACCTGGAATTTTGGACTCAAATAAACGTAACTTTCACTGTTGATAAGCTGATATAACAATATCGTTTTTTTTATCTTCAATATGAAAAGTATATGTGACGTAACATATATATATATATATATATATATGAATGAATAGAATAAGAGTAAAGAGTAAGATTATTAATCATGTATGATACATCTATGTATACATCATATCACATCGTACTTTTTATTTGACAACTGTTGAAAAAATCTAATATGAAATAATTTTTAGAAGAGTGAAAAGAATAGAAAAAAAATTGATTCAGATAAAGATAGATTCTAGAGAAAAGAAAGAAAAATAGTTTCGAATAATCGATTATCGCTATATCGATTATTGGTAACATAGATTTCATTAATACAATCATCGGTTTTCACAAAGATAAGGTCTATCTATATAATTCAAACAAATGTGAAGCATCGTATTGATGATAGTCTGTTTTCTTACATCGATAACACAATCGTGATAATTTTTCTAGTAAATATTAATATTCTTTTTGATAATGTTATTTTTTGTAAATTCTTATGTATTCAAAGGAAAAAAAAAATATATAGATTTGGAACCAATTTCTCAAGTAGATAGGAATCATAATATACATGAATCCGTATCTATTGTCGGATAATACATTGATATATTGCGAGCTACACGAGTTCAATGTTGTCCCATATTAATTTGCAATAATGACCTAATGTTAAATTGAATTTTGGAAATAACGATTTAATTTTAATCATTTATTATAGCCAAATAAATTTTTTTATCTCTGAAAAGGGAAGCGCATGTACGGAAAAATGATATATAGAAAAATTAATACAATATCTAAAAAGAAGAAATATCTTTTCAATTTGCTATATCAGGTAATAAAAATTATTGAATCTGATAAATAAACCGTAAATTATGATAACGATTGCGTAATTACGATACGAAAAAAAAGCAAAATAATTTTTCATCGAGTACATTATCTATACTTGAATTCTGATCATAGGGTCATCGAACTTTAACATCGAAACAAGTTTTCGAACGCGAATTAAAATATGGCGCTCATAATTATGACCCAATTCCTATCGCTTTATGCAGAGGGGAAGGACCTTTTGTGTGGGATGTTGAGGGCAAGCGTTACTATGATTTTTTGAGCGGTTTTTCTGCAGTTAATCAAGGTCACTGTCATCTAAGAATTTACAAAGCTTTGACAAATCAAGCGAAAGTCTTAACATTATGTTCAAGAGCACTTTATTCGAACACATTGGGAGAATTAGAAGAATACATTACGAAAATTTTTGGGTAAATGAAAATCTCTGTTAATATTCCAGTTAATATTGCCAGTCATTCCAATTATTCTCCCATGTTTACACGCGATATCTTTCAAGATTCGAATAGATTTAGGAGTAATCTATTCTTGAAATTCGAAAATATATAATTAAATCAAGTATCAAATTTTTAGATATGATAAATGGCTTCCTATGAACACGGGACTGGAGGGTGGTGAAACAGCTTGTAAGTTGGCACGGAGATGGGGTTATGATCGCAAAGGTATACCACATTATAAGGCGAAAATTATTTTCCCAGAAGGTAATTTTTGGGGAAGAACAATGAACTCGATATCTTCTGGCTCGAATCCGACTTCTTTCCGTGGATTCGGTCCTTTTATGCCTTTCGAAATAATTCCATTTAACAATCTCTCGAGTCTTCAAAAAACTTTAACAGATCCTAATGTTTGCGCTTTTATGGTAGAACCTATTCAAGGAGAAGCTGGTGTTATCATACCAAAGGTATGCAAATATCATGATTGTAATTGTAATTGTAATCATTATAATAAAATTTTGCGTATTTATTTCATAAGGATGGATATTTAAGAGGAATTAGAGAATTATGTACAAGATATAACGTGTTGTGGATAGCTGATGAAGTGCAAACTGGTTTAGGCAGAACAGGGAAAATGTTAGCTGTGGATTATGAAAATGTGAAACCGGACATTTTGATTTTGGGTAAATCTCTGTCAGGTGGTTTCTATCCAATATCGGGTATATTGGCCAATGATTCTGTGATGTTGACTATAAAGTCTGGAGAACACGGTTCGACTTTTAGTGGCAATCCTTTAGCGAGCAAAATCGCTATTGAAGCGCTTCGTGTGATTTTAGATGAGAAATTAGCAGAAAATGCTGATAAACTTGGACATATTGTCAGATCTGAACTTAAGAAACTTCCAACAAACGTGGTTAATGAAGTTCGTGGAAAAGGTTTACTTAACGGTATAGTTATCAATGATAAAATTGATATTGTAAACGTATGTTTAAAATTAAAAGATGAAGGTTTAATCGCGAAACCGACACAGAATCACGTAATCAGATTAATGCCTCCGCTGGTTATAACTGAATCGCAAATACGAGAATCTATGGATATTATTTCCCGAGTTATTAATCAATTCTCTAAATGATACACATATACATATAAGTATACGTATACGTTTTAAATTTATGTATATATTTAGTAAATAATTATATATGTGTTTTAAATTTTAATAAATCTTGTTGATGAACATTATTAAGTTACATTTTATCTTTTTCTTTTTTTCCTTCAAACCTGTTTCATCATACAAATACGTGGATCTTTGTGAAAATTGATCAAATTCAGACAACACGACACGAAATTGAAATCAAATTGAATTAGAAACAGGTTTAAAGAGAAAAATATCGTTAAAAGCTGTTGAAGTTATTATCTACCATGTGCATATTGAAGACAGAAAAATTGCTTGATTATAAGTTACATACGTGTTATTAATAGCTTCGTATGATACGATTTTATCCTGTATTCTGTAATTGTTTATTCAGACGTTTGTCAGATGTTTTAAACTTGTAATCACATTATAAATATACAAAAAGTTAA